GCCGCCCGAGCTCTGTACCGTTGGGCTTGGTGCACGCCCCCAGGAGGTTGACCACGTTGAGATGGTTACCGATGTGGATGAGGATTTTGAGCTCCGACATCAGGGCGCGGTGCTCGCTGGCGGTGGCCCCCTCTAGAGGGAACACGGGGACTTCGCAAGGTGCCGGGCCCGCTGCGCCTAGGCCCCAACCCATGAGCGTCCCTACTTCCGGGCCTCTCAGCTTAGCTAAGGCATGGCTCAGCGCTCGTACTTGTAGGGGCGCAAGGCCCCCAGCAGGCCCTGCCTGCCCCTCTGCCGCAAAGGTTTAGGTGGGACTGGTAAGTGTTACTCAGAGGTGGGGCCCAGGCCGGGCTCTGACCCCCACGGATTCCCTGTAGAACCTTGGGTAAGACTCTGGCTCTGAATTGCAGTTTCCCCTCCTGCACCAAAGCCCCACCAGCCCGCCCAGAGCTGCTCTTCCTCACCAGCTCAGCCGCCCCTTCTACCCGCGGATCCCACACCTTTTAGCATTTTCACAGCCACCGTGTCACAGCTGCTGCCCTTGCTGATGCCAAAGGCCGAGGCTTCCACCACCTTCCCAAAGGCCCCGTGGCCGAGGACTCTCCCTGTGGGGGCAGGGAGCTGGTTCCAGATGAGCTGTATGGGGGTGAGGGTGGAGAGGACTGGGCAGCAGGGACAACCCCTGCGGAGGGCCAGGAAGGAAGGCTCAGGAGGGGGAGGAAAGTCGGGAGCCCCTCTGCCAAACAGGAAGTGCATGGGGAGCGGGAGAGGGAAGAGAGGGAGAGGAGAGACAGACAGGAAGGCCTGCATCCTCTCCCAGCAGGTGTGATGGGCCCACCCTGCTTAGAGCAGCAGGAAGTGACCCTGGGGGCCTGGGAACTGGGAGACCCGATCGTGGCTCTGGGGCTGCACGCCCAGATGGACAGGTCGGGCCAGGTGGGGGCCAGGTGAGACTTTCTGGCATGAGTTCTGAGAATGGAGGGATTTCAGGGCTCCAGGCTGTCCCGCCCCGCAGCAGCTGAAGCTGTCTCTGCCCAGTGGGACAGGGTGGACGGGGCGGGCTGGGTGCTAGCCTCACCGAGGTGCAGCCGCTCCCGGGGGAACTCCCACTGGCTGGCATCGTAGGACAGGTATTCACACTGCTCCTCCAGAGGCACTTCCCCGGGGTCCATGATGATGGACAGGTAGCCAGTCTTGATGTCTGCATGGGTTGGCTGGGAGCGGGGTTGGGGAAAAGCTCGCTGACTTGGCCATACCACCCTACCTGGGGTAAAATTTTGCCCAGGACAGATGGGATCTCCTTAGGGACTTTCAATATAGGAGGGGAAAGACAGACAGAAAACCTCTGGTCCTTTAAGAGCCCAGCATGGAAGGGTCAGGGAGGGCTCACGGGAGTCAGGGCTTCTGGGAGAGCCAGGACAGGACCATATTCCTTAACTTAAGGGCTAGCCAGGGTGGCGAGAGGCCCCACGAGGAGCTGGGGAGAGGCTGGGCAGGGGGACGAGTGCTTACCCTCCTCATGTTACAGAAGATGAGGAGGAGAAGGATCCAGAAGAAGACGGCGATGACCCCGGTGCCAATAAGGATCACGATCTCCATGCTGCCTTTATCCTCTGAGCCTGAGTGGGCAGAAAGGGGCTAGTGTGTGCGTGTGTGAGGGGAGAGAGGGTGCACCCTTTGGGAGGTGCCCCTTCTTGTGGGCACGACTTGCAGCGAGGTGGCCAGAAGAAGGCGCCAAGTGCAGACGGGCGGAGGGTGGACAGAGGGGCGCGAGAGGGAGGCCGGACCTTCCACCGCCACGCTGGCGGAGGAGTTGACGCAGCCCTTGGCGTTGCACACACTGCACAGGTAGCGGCCCGCGTCCTCCTCGCGCACGCGCTGAATGCTCAGCTTCTGGTTTGAGTCCGCCAGGTCGATTCCTGCCGCAGGTCGGGGAGACGGTCGAGTTTAGGTAGGTCTGGGGCCTTGGCCTCACTGAGCTTCCGGACCCCGCCCTTCACCAGCGTCCGTCCCCTCCTTACCGGACTCTTCCTCCAACAGCCTCTCATCTTTGTACCACACGATGCTGGGCACGTGCGTCCCGGCCACCGGGCACCGCATCTCCAAAGAATCGCTCACGTTCACCAGGAGGTCGGTCAAGTTCTGGGTGAGCCGCGGGGCTTCCAGGGCTGGGGGCGGGGTCGAGAGGGCGCTAAGTGGAGCTGCAGAAAGCAGGAGGGCGCGCCAGCAAGGGGCCCTCCAGGGCTAGGAGCCCCTGAAGCTGAAGGAAAGGTCAGGGTTTGAGCTCGGGGCGGGCAGGGCCGCGCACCTCCACGGCGGGCCTGGGGAGGGGGACGCTCCTGCAGGATCAGGCTCGTGAACAGACTGCCCAGGCGTGTGCTGGACAGGGGGTGATGGCTGCTTGGGAAACACGGCTCCCCCTCCCCCCAGCGGCCCTGCCTGCCTCACCCTGCACTGACAGGTACTTCTTGTGACAGTGCTTGTCTTGGCTGCGCCGGTCCTGCACCTCGCACACGTAGTCGCCTTCATGTTCAGGTGCCACGCTGGGGATGGTCAGGCTGAGCGTGGCGTGGCGCGCCCCGGGCGCCGCCTCCTCCAGGCTGGCGGCCAGCGGCGTGGCGAAGAGGTGCACGTTCTTGCAGTCGAGCAGCAGCGGGTTCCCGTGCGCGTCATGCAGCGTGGACAGGTTGAGGCGATACCAGCGCAAATGCTCGTAGGTGTAGTTGTCCGCCCGGCAGCTCAAGCGGACGGCCTGGCCCTCCAGGGGCTCCTCTGATGGCTCCGATTCTATGCTGAAGCCGTCGGGGATGGCTGAGAAGGGAGGACAATCTCTGTGACATGGCGTCTTCTGTTGGCTCACCTCCCGGTCTGCCCAGGAGCTCTCTCTCCCTTTCCCAGTGGCCTTCGAACTCCCTCAGCTCTCCCCCAGGGTGTGCATCAGGTGTGTCTGGGCCAGGGACACCACACTGGAGCCCTCTTCGCCCTCTCACTGACGAGACACCAGATCCCTGAGGTCAGCCCCGCTGGGGTCACCTCCTGCCTTTGTGGACAAGCTCCGATCACATGCTGCCCCTCTTCTCCCAGGAACCTAGGTCGTCAATGAGTTCCTTGCCACCAGGCTCAGAGGGGGCCTGCGTCCCCATTCTCCCTCACTGCTGACCCCACTCCCCACCACTGCCCTCTCCTTGCAGCTATCTGGGCTTCATTAGCTTTTAGCAATGCCTCCCAATTTCCTTCTGTCCCTCTGGCCATTCATTGCCGAGCTCCTAGGGGCTCCTCTCCCCTCCAAAGTTCTTAGCATTCCTGAGGACACCAACACATTGGAAAATCTCAGGAAACTCTACACCTCCTTCCCCGGGCAAGATGCAGTGAGAACCAGATGCCATGTGGATCCAGGCTTAGGAAGGGGGTGGGAGGGAAGTGGAGTCAGGGGAAACTGTGGGGAACAAGAGGGCGCCCCTGAGAGAGGCACCTCCAAGGCTGTGGGCAGACTGTGCCAACCCATCCCAGTGGCTCACCATCCCAGTCCATATGCCAGTGACCTCCAAATCCATTCCTCCTGCCCAGACCCAGGGGCCCCATGGGCCCTGGATGCCTCAAGGTCACCAGAAACTCAATGGGCCCCAGTCTGGGGACATCGTCTTCTCCCAGGCCTGCTTCCCTCCCGGGCCCACCTGGCTCCCAACTTCCATCCCGGTCTGCACAAGTCACTCACTGGTCACGTAGAAGTAGATGAGCCGCTCGTCCTGGCCCACTTTGTTGAAGACCACGCACTTGTACATGGCGGACACGTTGGCATCCTGGATCACCAGCTTGCTCACCGTCTGGACAGGACACATGTCAGGCATGAGCTCCCCAACCCTGACCTCCTCTCTCTGTAAGGAGGTTGCTGTGCCCACTAGAGTAATGGAGGAAACTGAGGCTCCAGACTGGAGACAACCAAAGCTCAGAGACAGGACCAGCAATGGTGAGGCAGGGACAGTGCTATGGACAGCTGGCCTCAGCTGTGCTGCGGTCAGAGGGCAGTGCTAGGCGGGACCAGCAGGACCTCTGGCTGTGGATGGGCTCAGGCTGTGGCCCTGTGGAGGAAGGGACAGGGTCCTGGTAGCACTGGCTTGGTCCAAGCCAGAGTTAGGGTTCATGCTCTGGTCACATCAAGGCTCAGCCTATGGGCCAAGGTGAGCAGATGGTCACTGCGTGAGATCCTTGTGATGTGCCCACAGATGCCCCAGGGCTGCCCATGAGCACTTCTCCCAGTGCCCTGGTTAGTGGCAAGGGGAGGGGCTAGGTTCCAGGGCTCCAGAAGGACTCTGGGGGTGTGGGGAGGGGAGTAGACAGCTTGGAAGTGGAGGAGGAGAGAGGACCATAGGCCCTGCCTACCATCCAAAGACCCCACCCCCATCCCAGGCCGGGCACTTCCTGGCCAGCCTGGAACAGGAAGAGGCTCTAGAGGTGTGTAGGAAAACAGGAAGTGACTGTAGGAAGTGGGTGCCTTTGTTCGGTCCTTCCCCTGCCTGGCCTCTTCTAGGCATTGCCCCCAGCCTGGGCCAGCAGCTCGGCAGCCTTTGGTGGAGACGGAGCCGGCCCCCAGCCCCAGCCCTCCCAGCCCTGGGCAGTGGGGGCCCACAGCCGTGAACCTCAGCTTCCCTGCATGGGAAGCAGCTGGAGGTTTCTGGCCCCACGTCTACACACAGGCAGGGAAGCTGATGCCCAGAGACACTGCAGAAAGGTTGCCTCAGCTGTTATCCCCAGAGCTCTGCAAGGCTGGGGGCCACTGAGGAGGCCAGGAGAGGGCCCCACCCCGCCTTCCTTTCCCGTTTCCCCCTGTGGCACGGATGGCCCACACCTTATTCTTGCCCTCTACAAACTCGGTCCAGGTGTCCAAGCTCTCAATGGGGTTCACGGCGTCCTGTGTGGTCACCTCCTTCCAGTCCTGGCACTGTGGCATTCGGTCTCGCTGCTGCCGCCGCCGCCGGCTGCTACAAACAAGGAGAGGCAAGGGCGGGTCAGAGATGCGGGCAGGGAGGGCCCACCCCGAGGGTAGGGTCAAGTTTTTGTCATACTCAGGGTCATCCTTTCACATCTTTGTGCGTAAGACCTGCCCCCAAAGTGAGCAAGGGGAACGGGGAACTTGCTTCTGGAGCACAGTCTCCTTACCCTCATGTTCGGGGCCTGGCAACCCATCCTGCGTGGACTGCCAGACACAGCCTTGCCCCGGGGCCAGGGCCTGCACCTGCACAGCACCACAACTTGTGGCTCTGTGGTCATTCTCCAGTCTGCCCTGCCCCCGTCCCTAACTACCTGCAGGTGTTGCATCTTGCAAAGTTCACCCGTCTCTCCTGGGGCAGCAAAGTCACCACTCCTACTCCAAGAAGCCCTCTCCCTAGCCGCCCCCCAACCCTTCCAGAGCTGCAGCCCCTCCCTCGGCTGAGTTGCATCCCATCACTTTGGGTTTCCTGCTGGGATGGGGATCCGGGGGAGGGGTGGACCAAGGGAGGCTCTTGTCTGCCCCCAGTGGAGCAGAGCATAACGGTAGAGCATCAGAGGGAAGTACATTTGGGGGTGCCAGCTATGACCTGAAGCCTCGTGGTCTGATAGAATCTCTTATTAGCCTTGAAGATTGTGGACTGGCTCAGGCCCACAGGCCACCCCTGCTGAACCTCCCCACATGACCGTGCCAGGGCCACAGCCCCTCTGCTAGGATGGCCACCCTGTCTCCCTTGGGTTCCCAGCTCCCGTCCCTCCCAGCCTGTGTCCATGCCCCCAGCCCATTAGGATCTCTTGCTAAATGGCAGGTGCGACCTGTCAGTTCCCTGAGCAGCACCGTTCACTGACTGCTTAGTACCTTCAAGGCTGCTGCCCACCTTGGTGCCCTGCCTTCTCGGCCCTCACTTGTCCAAGTTACCTCTGCCCCGAGTGTTCTTCTGGCCCATCCAGTGCCCCCTCAGGTAGGGCAGTGTGGCCCAGAAGTTGGGCAAGATCTGCTGCTTAGGGCCGTGGCCTTAGGAACGTCATACCCCTTCTCCGACCTCACCCTTCTCCTCTCTAAGGGGTCGCTGATGGGCTGATGGGTGTTGGGCATGCTCGGTGTGCCTCGGGGCTCCTCAGCACGAGTCTCACAAAACTGGCCTAGCTCTGCCTGTGTGGTGCCCCGAGACGTGTCCTTTGGTCCCCTCCAGATGATGCAATTGTGTGTCTGGGGTCTTTGCTTTCAAGGGAAGTGGGTGGGGCCTGGACCACCCCCAGTGTCCAGCCTGGCCTGACTGATGTACTGGAGGGCCTGAGCCTTGCCCAGGTGAGGTGAGGTCAGGGATTGGCTACAGGTGAATCGTGATAGGGTTCAAGTTTAGAGCAGGGCTCTGGGGAGGGGTGCAGGCAGTGAGTAGGGGTCTGGCGGAGGCTGGGGATGAAGCGGGGAAGCAGGGGAGGACAGGTGGAGCCACACTCACAGGCTGCGCTGGGTGAAGGTCTTGCAGGGTGTCCACGGCCGCCAGTGCCACTGGACGCTGAGGGGAGGGGGCACGCCGTAGGCGGTACAGGTGAGGGCCTGGCGACTGTGGCGGGAGTAGATGCTGGGGGAGGAGGCCTCCTTCTCATGGATGTGGGGAGGCACTGGGGACACAGGCAGGCAGCCGGTCAGCCACCCGGCCCAGTACACCCAGCCGCCCGCCGCGCCCGCTCCTGCCTGCCCGCCGTACCGTTCACCACCAGCTCCAGGCTGATGTTGCGCGCCAGGCCGGCCGCAGAGTTCCACAGGGCCAGGGTGTAGGTGCCCGCGCTGGCCTCCGTCACCTCCTTGAGCACCAGAGCGTGGGGGCTGTGGCGCCCGGACACCGCCTTTCTGTCCTTGTACCTGGCCAGGAAGGGAGTTCAGGGGGCCGTGTGAACCCCCCTCAGCCCTGTCCTGGCCCTCCCGCCCTGCAGCACACAGCCCCTACACCTGGAGCATGCTGTCCGGAGACAGGCGGTGCCAGGAGCAAGAGGCCCCTCTGGCACCAGACCAGCAGGTGCCGGGAATTCTGGTGGGTGTGGGCGGCGCAGCCGACTCTGGACTGGGGAGCGGATGGCTTAGAGGTTATGAGATGGTCTCTAAGCTGGGGCTGCCAGGTCTCACAACACCTTAGGCTTAGGACCAACTGCGGTCCCCAGTGGGTCCTGTCTCTTTCTCACAGGCTTCACCGGCATGTGCTCTGCATGGGTGGAGGTGCGGTCCCCGAGGGGCACAGCTCGGACCTGTACCACGTGGAGGGCCCTGACTCCCTCTGACCCTGGCTCTGCCCTTCCAGGCAGGGGGCCTTCTCGTTGCCCCGCCCCCTCCCCAGAGCCTTTGCACCCACTGTCCTGCCTTGCTGGGACGCTAGGCACCTGCACGGTTCCCTCCCTCCTATGCACATCACCGCCCACTCTTCAGAGAAGCCTCATGAACCAGGAGCTGGCCCTCGGCCTTGTGCCTGCTCACCCGCACACTGGTGTTCCCACGCGTGTCTGGTGAAGGACCATCTCCCCCACTGAGCTGTGTGGGGACCGTCTGTCCCCTCACCGCCATACCCCCTACACGTGGAGCGGTCCCCAGCACACACAGGTGCTCAGGGCACGTGTGAATAAAGGGCTGACTCACACCCCGAAGGAGGCTCCTCCCCAGGCCTGAGCTGGGGGAGCTATAGGCAGGTGTCCCTGCAGTCCAAGTTTTGGACTCTGCCTGGAAATGGTTCTCCCTTAGGCTGGGGCCTTCCCCAGAGAAACGCTGGGGGAAGCAGAGCCCTCAGGGCAAAGAATCGCAGTGAGGAAGATGCAGGGCGCAGCTCTCAGCTGCGACACCACAGCCAGGCTGGAAGAGACTCCCCGAGGCGGCACACAGAAGGGCTGGGCAGGGCCCGGGCCCTGAGCCCTGCTGGGCTCTGGTGCAGAATCCCGTCTGCCACCAGTTGTGGCCCTAGGCAAGCTGCTTCGCTGCCCCCACCCCCACGTCCTCATCTGAAATCCAGGGAAACCAAATGCACCTTCTTGCAAGTGTTGTGACATCGAGCAGAGATGCGGCCTTTACGGTGCCGGACACATGGAGGGAGCTTTGGGAGCCAGCACCAAGCTGTCTGTCTGTCCACTAGCTTCCCATCCATCATTTACTTATAATCATTGCACGATGACCCAAAGGGGTGGGCCCCTGTGGGGCTGTGGTGATCACTAGCGCCCTGAGGCAGGTGTCCCAGCGGACCGTGGGCCCAGCTGAGCAGTTCTTGGAGGCCGGTGTTGGCCAAATGAGGAGAGAAAGGCCAGGTGTGGTGGGAGTGGTGAGAGGCAGGCAGCTGTCTGAGGATCTGGCCTGGGCTGGGTCCTCAGCGCAGCAGAGCCGGCCACCCTCCCAGACAGGGTCAGGACTGCTGGCCTCGCAGGGCAGGGGACAGGACCCTAGGGGTCTCCAGGAGGCCGCACCTGTGAGGGAGCAGTTAGACAAAGCCCTGTGCGGTGCCTGCCACACTCACACATAACAGGAGGCCAGTATTTACACTCCTTCACAGTTTAGCAACAATCCAGGCCAACCTTCCCTCTTGCCAAGATACTGCGTATGTGCACATTCTTAGATGTTCGTGGGGTCCCCACCCAGGGTGCAGGCCCCATCCAGGTCGCAGGGAGTGGGCCCTGATGGGGAGGATGCAGCCCTTCCCTCCCTGCGGTTCTTTCTCACGCTGGACCTGCTGCTGGGTAGTGAGGGGCAGGAGCGAGGGAGGTACCATTGGAACTCCGGCGGGGGGTACGCGGCCAGCTTCACGGGCAGTTTGACCAGCTCGTCTCCCGCTGTGGCCTCCAGGACAGGACCCTTGAGCCACTCGACGCTGATGAAGGGCTTTTCTGACAGATGGGAGGGAGGCATCAGGGTAAAGCCGAGGCTGGCTCTGCGGCCCCCCTCCTCCGGGGATTCACAGCCAACCCCAGTGGCCAGATGCCTGCAGACTGGGGCTCACCCTGCCCTCTAGGGTGTGGGGACTGGTCAGTCTGTCCACTCATGCGCACCCCCACCCTTGGCTGGATTCCACACTGCTCCGGTGCACCGTGACATTTGAGCCTGGGCCCGTGCTGCACAAGAACCCTCTATCCCCAGGCTTGATGACTGACACCTGACTTACCCAAGGCCACGCTAGGTCTGACAACCCACAGGCCTTACCGTGCACAATGACCTCGGTGCTCTCCTGGAATTGCTGGATGCCATTGTTGGCCTGGCACACGTATGTGCCCAGGTCCTGCTGGCTGACGTTGTGGATGGTGAGGATGCTGGAGAGCTCCGTGTGAGTCTGCTGGGAGCGCCGCTCCGGCACCGACTTACCCCGCTCTGCCTGTCCGTGACCGGGGGGAAGCACAGGATGAGAGCAGGCGGCCTCTGACAGAACTGGCCACCAAAGGTACACACCCCAGCCCAGCCAGCAGCAGCTCCGGAAGCCTTGGGCCCAGATCCAGAGTTTTCCTTGGGGACAGGGAGGCACCCCTCTCGGACAGGGGCTCCTGGGGTAGGATAGGGTCTGTGCCTTCTCCACACAGAGGCACGTGTGCAGTGGCCTGGGGCGGGTGTGGGCCGGGATGAGGACTCCCCAGGAGGATTCCGGCACAGCCCCTGGCGGGGCTGCTGACCTCACCTGCTTCCCTGGATAGTCCCAGCTGAAGGTGACGCCCGAGTTGAACTCAGCCCACACGGTGCAGTTCAGGACCAGCTTTTCCCCGACCAGCAGCTCCAGTGATTTCTTGGGGAATAGCTGGATGTCATAGAGCTGGTTGCCTGGTGACACACGAACAGTGACCCCCATGCCCCTCGTGGGACAGCACATACAGAGGCCAGGACACAGGGCGCCTACTGAGACCAGGTGCAGCACGGCACCTACAGCTCCGATACTGGGAACTGGGGGCCCCGTCCTTTTCCTACAGTTCTCCTCCCAGGACGTGGGGAGTGGTCCCTGGGGAAGGGCCCTGCGGCCCCGGGCAGCCCCTACCTGTGATGTGCACGAGGAAGGGGTTGGACAGAAAGGCCTGGCCGTCCCAGGTGGTCTCACACTGAAGGTACAGGGCGTCGCGCAGGAGCGGGGTGGGCACCCGCATGCCCCGGCGGTCGTCCCACACCACGTCCTGCCCGTCGGGCTGCAGTGCTGAGTTTTGCTGTAGGGACATGGCGGCTGTCAGCGCCCAGGGGTCCTTTTCTCTTGGCCAGAAAAGGGGTCGCTTTCCCAGGGACCGGGCGGGTGGGCCGGGTCCTGGGTAGGGGTGGTGGCGGGGTTGTACCGAGCGCAGCGTGACGTTGAGGCCGGGGATGGACACCAGGCAGGGCACCCACACAGAGTCCTTCCTGTTGACCAGCAGCGTGTCCGGCTTGCTGATGAACGGCTGCTCCGAGTCTGAGGGGGCAGGTGGCGGGAGGGTGAGGCGGGTCTCCGCCCAGGGCTGGGGCCACGAGGCAGCCCTCTGGGGTCAGAGGCTTTGGGGGGTGGGGCGGGGCCCGCCTCACCTCGCACGAACACGTAGGTGCTGGCCGCAGTGGTGCCCTCGATGCGCGCCTGGATGTACTTGTAGTAGCAGCGGTAGCTGCCCGTGTTGTTGGCGTGGGCCTCCTGCAGCTGCAGAACCTTGCAGTAGGGCCTGGCGTCTGTGCCCTCGCAGTCCCGCGCAACCCCGGTGTCCTCGCTGCCCTTCTCCCCCGTGCCTGGCGCATCCTGAGCCCCTGGCCAGGCCCACTCGAGGGGGTGCTGCCCCCTGGCAGAGGACGCAGGGTGTCAAGAGGGGCCCAGGCTGCAGCCCTAGGGGACAGTCCCTGCGGAGCCTCCCAGGGGCCAAGCCTAGCCTGTGGCTTATCTCACCCAGAGGTCAGGGCGCTTGGGCATACACCAAGAGCCCAGCCCAGGGCAGGGCACTCCCTCAGCCCCCTGGGGCCTCTGCCTGACTCCTGGGCCTGCCTGTGGCAGGCTGTCCTGAGAGAAGCCCGGGCCTCAGACTGTAGCCAGAGCTGTAGAGAAGATAACAGGTCTGGGGTGTGTGTGTGGGGCCGGGGCCAGTGAGGAGTGGCTGGGACTGGGTGTAGGTGGCCTGGGTCCATGCAGGATGTCCTGGGGGCGTGGGCATGGGGTGGTCTGGGGTCAGTGTTGGGTGATTGATCTGGGGGCGGTGGGCAGTGGGGTGGGTCTGGGGGTCAGTTTTGGGTGATTGATCTGTGGTCCATGTGAAATGATAAGGGGTGGGTATGGGCAAGATGGGGGTGGGTACAGGGTGCCTGTGTCTGCAGGGCGGGGATGGTCTATGCCTCCAGGTGCCCATATTCAAGCCACCTGGGAGCATGACTGAGCCGCGAGGCCTCCCTGCCTTGGGGAGGGGCTGCCTTCCAGGTCCCCCCCAATCTCCTCAGCCTTCTGTAGCCTGCTTGCCCTGCCAAGGAGGAGAGATCCAGGCCCCTGCTCCCTGGCCGACGGCTGATTACCTGCAGGAGATGGACAGGCTGTCACTGGAATCGATGACGTATGTCTCCTCCGTGATGTTCAGGATTGGGGGGGTCATGGAGTAGCCAGTCGCCAGGCCTGGGGTGGGAGACAGGGTTAGCATGGCGCTGGGAGGTGAGTTCACATGACGGCGTCAATCGGACCCCGACGGCCTTCCCTGCCCACTTGAGCAGGCCCCTCTCTAGGGCAGGGGCTGCCTCAGCTCTCAGCCATGAGCAGCTCCTCCAAGGCTGCAAGATAACTGGCAAACTCCACCTCAGGCTGTCCCCTGGCTGCAGACTGGCCCAGCCCCAAGTGAGCCCTTACCGAGGCCTGGACTTAACCCTGACCTCCAGCCCCACATGAGCAAAGCTGCCAGCACGAAGTGGATGGGGGGGACCATGGGCCTCATCTCGTGTTGGGAGAGGCCTGGAGAGCATCTCCTTGGCATCGAGACCCCATGTGTTGGCCTGAAGGCCCCTCCCTCCAGATGCACAGCCACTGCTTGTGAGGGGATCCCGCAGGGATCCTCCGCAAACATGCCCAGAACCAAGCACTTGGTTTCCCCCTGAAATTCTGCCTGTGACCTCGCCCTGTCCCATGTCCCATGGAGTCCACCTCACGTGTCCTTAGCTCCATCAGTTTCTCTTCACTCCTGAGATGCCCTCTGGCTGCCCCAGCTCCCCCTTCCCGGCTCCCCGCAACCCATTCTTTCCAACAGGGCGAATCCCCGAACAGACAAATAACTGCCTTGCCTGGTTCAGAAACCCTCCTGCGGCCCTCCACGACCTGGGCCCGGCTGCCCAAGCAACTCCTTACCCCACACCCTCCTCCCAGCAGGACAGCACGTGCTGCGTGTGCGGAAGTATCTGTGTTTGTGAGACTGGTGTGTGAGTGGTGTGTGTGACTTCGTGTGTGTGGCTTTGCGTGTCTGCCCACCTATGTGCGTGTCATTGACATGTCAGTGTGTGCACGCATGTGAACTTGAGTGTGTTTGTGTGTGTGATCCCGGCCAGGGTGGGAGGAGGCCCCAGGGGAGGTCTGGACCTGGAACTCTGGCAGATGCATCCTGCCAGGACCATCCTGAGACAACAGGAAGAGAGGACTGCGTGGCCAGAGGCCCAGGGCTGCGTCCTGTCCCTCCCCCCAAGTCTCTGTCCTCCTGGGGGACACAACCCACTACCCTGTCCCGGCCCGTAGTCCCACGGGTCCTGCTCCTCTGCCCTCCCCAGCCTGGCTCCCTGAGGCTTGGGGCCCCATCCTGGCAGCTAATTGTGGGGGAATCCCCACCGTAGTTGGTTCTACATCACCTTGACCCCAAACTGCCCTAGGAATCGGCACCAGATCGGCACAATCTGCACACCGAGATCTCCTTTCAGCACAATGTGGACAAGACAGCTGCCAGGCCCACCTGGCCTCTCCCTTCTGTGCCTCCTGCTGGCCAGACCTTTCCAGGTACCACCTCACCACAGGTCAGGGGCAGAAGGACCTCACCGAGCATCTAGTCCCACGAACATCTGGTACAGACAGGGAAACGGAGGCCCTCCCGCTGGACCACACCGCAACCCGAAGAAGGCAGCTCCATGTGGGCTAGGTCCACTCCTCCCCGGGGCAGGCACCGGCCCCCCATCACACCACACCCCACCATGTACCCCCGGGGCTGCTAGGTGCGGGAGCTCCACACAGCAGGGTAGCTGCGCTTTGGTGGTGAGGGGCCAAGAAGGAGTTCCAGGGGGACACTTGAGATGGGCTTCGAAGGGAAAGTAGGATTTTCCAGGCAGTGGAAAGTGACTATAACCATGCCAGGCAAACTGGTCTCTGAGCCACAGAAGGGGAACTTGATGGACTTGGATTGGAACTGTGAGAGGGTGAAGCAGTTAGGGGTCAGGCCCGAGGCTGGCATGGGGGCACCAGAGGAGGGGTGCAGTGGCCAGGCCCCACCTGGCCAGGTCCTGCAGCCCCACGGTGAGGCCTGCAGCGTTGCTCTGGGACCCCTGGGGAGGCTGAGCAAAGGTCTCCTCCTTTGGGGTGCACATCTGGACACACCCCGGGTACCCCTGGCCACGCAGCTGTGGCAGTTGTCAGCCCCAGCTTCCTTGGGTGTCTCCCCTTTGACCCCAAGATAAAGTAGGGAACCCCAGGCCTCTCCCTTCTTCCCACTCCCCTTCTCTCCAGCTTCAACTCCTGGCACATCCGAGAGGCACAGCCCTCTCTCTCACCACGGTCTCAAAGTGCCAGGCTTCTCACAGCTTCAGGGCTCTGCCTTTGTCCATTTTTTGGCCCTGGACATTTGTACTCCCTCCCCTCCTGTGGAGCTCCCCGTCTAGGGTCTGGTTCTTGAGCCCCCTCCCTGTGGAGCAATCACCGTTACTCAGGCTCCTGCTGTCAGAACACTTACGGGCCTGAACCGTGGTTTCCTAGTCCCGTCTGAACAGAGGCTGTATTTACTCATCTTCCTAACCTCAGTACGAAAGACTGAAGGAATGGATTCAAGAAGGGCAGGATGGATGACGGATGATCAGGTGAATGAATGAATAGGTAGGTGGGAGGGTGGATGGGTGAGAGGATGAACGGGGACTGGATCCCGTAGGAGCCTCCCCCAGGGGCGCTGCGCCACCACGGGAGCATCTGTGTCCCCGTGCTGAATGCGAGAACCGTGGTGTTTGCCGACCCTTTCACCCATCTGAGAGTGCCTCTCCTTTGCTGCTCCAGGACCTGGGTTTCCCCAGCGCCCCTCTTTCTTCACTCACTCCCACTGGACCCTGTGTCATCAGCAGTCTTCACTGTAGACTGCCCCCTGTCCTCCTCCATCCTTCCTGCCTTAACTGGAACCTGGCTTTCTGACGACACCATTGCTCCTGGGGGGTTACTGCTCTCCATTGCACACTCCTGGCTCTGGAGAACTCCTTGTGGCCATGTCCCTTTTTCCGATGGCGCCACTCGCTCCCCACTAAAGCTGTCATCAGCTGCCGTCCCTGTCACTTCCCTTAATTCTCTGCTTCTGGCCCCTCCACCCCAACTCAGTCCATCCCCATGACTTCAGCGTCCACACGGATGACTCATCGTGGACTTTGTAGTCCTCACCTCCACTGTCCTCCCTCCTTCTGTCAGCCCCTCGTTTCCTGGGCACACCTTGGACCGGGTCCCTACCGGAAGCTGCGTCATCACCAAATGCCTCTCTTCCTCACTTCTCTCCCCGCTCCCTCTGCCTCCTGCTAGGCACCCTTAGCTAGGCTTCTACGTCCTTCAACCCCATCAGAACCCCCAGACTGAGGACCCCTCCCCATCGCCCCCCCCGGCTTCACCCCAGTTTTGGCACAGCGTGGCCCATGGCCTGTCGTTCTGAATGCTCCTTTGCCTCTAGCTCCCCAGCCCAGCAGCACCCACGTCCCTCGGGGGCTAAGCACACAGTACAGAGTCAGAGCCCCCGGCTGCTGCTTCCCCTTTCTTTTCCTGTTCGCGGATCCTAAACGGCCCTTGGGCTGAAGTTCCCGCCCCACTCACTCTCAGCAGTCACAGAGTAGAGCCATCAGATGGAGACACCTTGCCCTCCCACGTCCAAACCCCACACCCTTGCCCTGGGCCCTGGAAACTCTCTGACACTTCTGCTCCCAAAACCAAGCCCTCCAGCGTGCTGGGCATCTCGGTGCTCCGGACCTGGCCCCTGCGGGGCGCCCCACATGCTGTGGCTCCTCGCGCTCTCTTCTCTGCTGGTCTCTCCCCCAAGTGCCCATACACCTTCCAGGTCTCTACCTTTAGCCTCTTCCCCTCCCCTCAACTCCAGCCTTAAGTCTCCAGCTGCCGCTGCTCCTGGCCACCCTGTGCCCCCCAGACCCCCGAGTCTCACACTCCTGAAGCTGAACTCCACATTCACACCCTCTGCACTCCTGCCCAAGGCTTCTCTTTGAAAGCTCCCATCTCCCCCAGTGGGAGCGGCTTTGGAGGCCCACCTCTCCATCCCAGCCAACCCGGCCACCACCAGAGCATCTCACAGCCAGCCCCTGCCCTCCTGCTGGGGCCGGCCCAGCCGCACTCACCACCAAAGCAGCCCCCTCTAGTCCTTCACGCAGAGTTAGTGATCGCTGAAAACACAAAGGGGCCAAGTTATACCCATGCTTCAGCCTCATCAGTGACTCCCCACTGCACTTCCAGAAAAATCCAAACTTCTGACCGTGGCTTGGCCCCCATCCCCTCTCTACACCTTCTTGCTCCACTCTCACCTCCTGTTCTCATCCTCCAGCCACCACGGCCTCCAGGCTGTTCCATGACACGTCACGCTCCTTCCTACCCCAGGGCCTTTACACACACCTCTCCCCCTGATTTGCCTTCCTCTTACATGCCTTGCACAGCCAGCTTCTTCTCACCTTCAGACCTCAGCTTCTACGTGACCTCCTCACTCCCTCCAAAACCTAAGTCTTCTTCTAATCTCCATCGTAACCTCCTGGGTGCTTATTTCATCCTTCTCGTCACACTATGTAATTATGTTATTTACTTACTTGCTTAAGTTATGTTTTTTTCCATTTCCTCTACTAAACAGTAAGTTTCCCTGGGGGTGGGACCAAAACAGTCTTCCTTTCTACCCCGCTCCATGCCTAGAGCTGCACCTGGCACAGAGTCAAGGCTCCATAAATACTTGTTAAATGAATAAACGAATGGATGGATGGATGAGTGATGAATGGAAGGATGAATGAAAGGATGGAAAGATGGGAGGAAAGATGGCTAACTGGATGGACAGAAAGATGGATAGATGGATGGAAGGATGAATGGATGGATGGATGGATGGATGGATGGAAAGACAGAAAAAAAGGATGGCTACATGGAAGGACTGATGGGCAGAAGGATAGGTGGAAGGATGGATGGATGGATGGGAAGATGGGTGGATGAAAGGAAGGATACATGGAAGGATGAGTGAATGGCTGACCGATGGCCCAAACCAACCTCTGCGGTCTTCCTTTGGGTTGGAACGTTATCAGACTTTGTTGTTCCTTTGGAAAAGCTGTTTCCAGTTTTAAAGGCCAAGACCCCCAGGTGACCACATGCGCCCCCGGCTGCTGGGCAGCTGGGGCAGATCCGGGCCTGAGGGCTGCCGTGTCCGGAGGCTCCATGTTGCCCACCCCCCACCTGCCACCCTGAAGAAGG